AATATGTCCAAAAGTATGTTAAGAGGAAGTCTTGCCAGCCTTGCCTTTAAGGAGTATTCTAGTCGTACTTCTTCAAAAACAGATTTGTTTGTCCTTTTAGTAATCCATGGTACTTTCAATATTCGTCACCAGCACCATAATTCAAATACAAAGGGAAAAAAACTGGGTAGGACTATGCAAATAGGACACATGTAACACTAATCACTGGGACTGGTCAGTTTAGTTGCCACTCCTCTGGCTAGAAGGATGAGCCCTCTCTGCAAGAGAGGAGGGAAATCCCAGGACTGATGAAAGTGAAAGACATTAGAGAGCCCTCTCTCAAGTGTCAAAGGCTGAGACCGAGGCACCAAAGGCTGCAGCATGGAGACCATGGGACAGGCCACAGGAGCCAAGCCAAGATCAAAGGCCAAGGGCAAAGAGACCATGAGACAGAACAGAGGAGCAGTACCAAGACTATAGGACTGTGAGGCAAAGTGACACGTGGGCTTCCTGGCCACAAAGACAGAAGCCCAGGGACCGTGTGGCTGAAAGGGTGAGGGCTGGAGAAGGGATTTGGCTACTAAGGAGAGGTGTTACTGTGCACCAGTGACTGGACTTTACAGTTTACTGATCGTCACTTGTGGTAACCTGTTAACTCCCCTAACAAAGCCCCTTAAGCCCAAGTATTGTCTGTGAGTTCTGTGTGGCCATTGCAACTCATTATCGAACCCAGCACAGAAGTAGAGCGCCGCAAGATGAACAGTTGGTATTAGAGGACAGTGAAAAAGGAGTGAGCCAGAGACCTGCCTGACCTTGGCCTTGGGTCAATAGGGAAGCCTGAGGAAGTCAGAAATGGCCTTCCCTGAGGCTTGACACCCTGGCGGACCATGAGAAGGTTCTAAAACTTTTTTTCAATATTCAGGAAAAGGACTTGACCACATTATACTTTATTTTTGGCACTGTACTTTTCTTAAAGACCATTAGAAATTGTCACATAAAATTTGCTGTAAATAAGTTTTGAAGAAGTTTGATGATGTGACTAGGGGGCATCGAGTCCGTTCAGATTCGTCGGAAACTACGTACAACAGAGTGAAACATTGCCAGGGCTGCCACACCCTCACAATCCTCGTTATGGCTGAGCCCGCTGTTGTAGCCGTGGGTTCAACCCATCTCCTGGACCAGTGGTTCTCAACCCTCCTCATGCCGCCACCCTTGAATACAGTGCCTCATGTGGTGGTGACCCCCAACCATAAAATGATGTTCATTTCTACTTCATCACTGTGATTATGCTACTGTTAGAATTGGGCGACTCCTGTGAAAGCGTCATTCGACCCCCAAGGGGGTCGCCACCCACAGGTAGAGAACCGCTGTCCTGAAGGGTCTTCCTCTTTTTCACTGACCTACTTCACCAGCATGAAGTCCTTCTCCAGGGAGGGGCTCTCCTGACAACACGTCCAAAGTATGGGAGATGAAGTCTCACCACCCTCACTCCTAAGGAGCATTCTGGCTGTACTTTTTCCAAAACAGACTCGTTTGTTCTTCTGGCAGTCCATGGTACTTTCGATTGTCTTCACCAGCACCGTAGTTCAAATGCATCCAGTCTCCTTTGGTCTTTCTTATTCTTCGTCCAACTTCCACACGCACATGAGGCAACTGAAAATACCATGGCCTGGGTCAGAGCCTTAGACCTCAAAGTGGCCTCATGGATTTTCAATGTTAAAGGGTTCTTTAGACTTAGGGATGGTTTTCTTTCCCTGAAACACACTAAAATGTCGCCTCCTCTGAAAAACTAGAGCTAGATAGTAGAGTATTTTTCATTTTTCTTATTTGCTTAAGATTTTAGTGTAAGTAATAATTACTTTATGACCTATAACACAGGTATAAGAGAGTTAGAAAGTTCAGATTAACCATTCTCTGGGGGGAAAAACTGTTTCTAATTAATTAAACTGTTACTATTCACTGATATTGTCAGAAAGAAGGCACATTGTGATTAGTTCAGTTATTTACCCAATTAGGAATGTTAAAAGAACTTGGACTGCAACTGTTTCATCTCAGCTACCAATATGCCATCCAGAGTAAAGAAGAGGCCAGAAACTCCCGGGCCACATGAGCCACGGCCACCACTGTACCAGCAAGCAGCAGAAGCACAGCAAGGCCGGTGTGATGTGGTGGCATGCCTCAGCACAGTGACAACTTTGACCAATACTCTCCAGGTTACATTGAAAATGATGGGATGAGACATTACCCCTGAAGGGGAACCAGAGCTTCTGCCCAACTGTCAACTCGATAAATTGTGGTCCTTGGTCAGCAAGCAGACCAGGGTAATTATTGAGACTGGAGCCAGCTGTCCAGAGCGTCACCACCACACCACCAGGGCTCTGGCTCTGCCCTTAGGGTGGCTGTAAGTCAGAAGAGAAAAGACTTAAAGGCAATTGGTTTGAGGTCTTTATGCCTGCATGGATTAGCCTGGCTGCTGCATTGGAGAAGACAGCAGCTTTTAAAATTATTATTATTCTGTTATTGTTTGCCTATTGTCCACTTAAGATCTTTTGTTGTCAGTAGTCTGCTAGATCCAGAGTGACAAATTGCCAAATAAGACTTCAGTTTTTTCACTAAGCTTCCAATGTCAGACTCCTATTCCATTAACGAAAATGGCAACCAAAATAGCCCTACAGAAACTCAAAATCATCAAAGAAACCCGGTATGCTGGCCAGATGGAGACTGTTGGGGCCCCTGACCTATTGCCCCTAGTCACCCTTTAAGTCCAGAACTGAGCCCCTGTGTTACAATAATAAACCCTTTGAAATCCAAAGGGTAGCAGTTGTCCAAGGAAATTTTCAGAAAAGAGGATGAATGGAAACAGAAGACGGGGGAAGAGGGCTAAGCGATGATACATAAGGGTTTGTGATGGATGAATTGAAGCCACCCCATCACCACGGCCGGGAGTGCAGATGTGAGGGGTTAGTGTGCACAGTCTTGGCTGCTGACAAGAAGGCCGGAGATTCCAGTCCACCTGAAGTTCCCTGAAAGAAAGGCTGGATGGCCCACTTCTCAAACATCAGCTAAGCTGACTAGTTCCATCATGCTGTTTAGAATGTATGCATCGCCCCCTGCCGTGGAGTCCATGGCAGCACATCGCAACCCTACACAAGGTTTCTGATTCTACAAGAGCACAGTCTCAACTTTCTCCTGCAGAGCAGCTGGTTGGTGTGTTTGAACCGCAGACGGAGAGGTTAGCAGTCCAATACTTAACACAACAGGGCCACCAGGCCTCTTGTACTGCCATGCATCCATGCTCATTTCATCAGGTTCTGTCTATGCACTTAACCGCCACACCACCAGAGGACCTGTCATGAAAGGAAGCGAAATGTAGTGGTCTGTTTCTGCCAGGGTTGGCAACAGTAGCTACCCTGGAGGGCAGTTCTGCACTGTCCTACAGGGTCCCCATGCGCCAGAATTAACCAGATGGCAATGGGCGGTCTGCTTTCATGGTCCAAGGTCATGGCTGCTCCTTCATTTTGCCTTTTGGCACACAACGTTTACCCACCCCTGGCCCCCACATTTCTGCCGTGGAGCGGCTGGTGGCTTGGGGCTGCTGGCCTGGCAGTTAGCAGCCCGATGCGTTCCCACTATGCTGCCAGAACGCCTATTTGGACCTAAAGCAAGTAATAATGAGAAAAGGACGGTTACTGCTAAGTAGACAAGCTACATGGGCACGACCCAGGTTATATAAAACAGTGATCGAGTGAAAACAACAACACTTGTTTTTACTTGTGTTTTGTTTCAGTGCTTTGCTGCTGTGGGAAAAGGATCCCGTTTCTTTCACAGTCATAGGTCGTTAGCAGCATTTCTCTGCTTAAAAATTAGAGGTCACTCTGGTGGCCTAGTGTTTACATGTTAGGCAGCTAACCTCAAGGTCAGCACTTCGAAACCACCGGTCTGCTCAGAAGAAAGATGAGGCGTTACAGGGCACTTCTACCCTGTCCTATAGGGGCACTTCTACCCTACCTTATAGGGTCGCTATGAGTCATAATTGTCTTGATGGCAGTGAATGACAGGTCACCCTAAGATCACTGCCCGCTATACTTTTTATTTGGAGGACTTAATTCATCACCGGAGGTTAAATGGCGTTACCCGGCCAGTAGGGAAGCGTGAGTGGACTTTGAAAGAAAAGGGATGGGGAAAAAAATGAAAAAGAAAAGGGGTGTCCCAGTGGGTGGCTGGAAGAGGGAGATGGTTCGGTGGGTGTTGTATGATTAGAGCCTCCATTCTGAATCTAGATGTAGCGGTTAGTGCTGGGCTGGAAGGGGTTAAAGATGGCCTCATCTTTTTAAAAGCTCACACACCGGCACACACCGAGCAAGCGAGCCTGCACAGCCAAGAGGAGTAAGCTATAGGTTGTCCATCAGGAAAGGTTGAGCCGTAGCTCGGTGACGCTTTGTCGATTTCCTTCAAGTCACCCTGAATCTTGCGTCCGCTCCATCTCGGCTCTGGGAAGGGGAACCATCTGCTTGGGGAACGTGCAGAACACAGTGTCCGCGCCCCGGCAGCCGGCAGCAGCTGGAGTGACTCCCCGCGGGCGGCGGCGTCCCCTCCCGCGAGAACGTCAGGAATGCAGCCGGGCCTCCTGGAGGGCGAGCGCGGCGCCCAGGGAGCAGGGCCGCCGCTGGCTCTGCGCACGGGGCTTTGCGCAAAGCGAGCTGAGCTCCGGGAAGCCCACGGCATGGCGTCTGGCACCAAGCTAGCGCGCCCCGCAGGGTCTCCACCATCCTCCAGCGAGCCTGCGAGTCAGGACCGGGCTGGGAAACCAAAGCAAAAATCGCGACCCCGAAAGACCTGCCCCGAGGGGCGAGCCGCCCAAATGCTCTTCCAGGAGGGAGGGGGGAGTCGCGCCCGCTGGCCAGCCAATCCCGCCCCGGCTCGGGGAGGAAGAGGCGGAGTCAGGACCGCCCACGGGCTCCGCCCTGCACACTCTGCGCCCGCGTTTGAACCCGCTCGGGGCTCTGCTGGCTCCGCTGGACGCTCCGCAGCCGCTCCCCGGAGTCGGACGCAGACGTTCTCCGCCGGCTGCAGCCATGGCCTCAGCTGCCGCCGCCACCACGGCCGTGAAGGTGAGCGTAGCCGGCCCGCCCTGCTCGGGGGAGCGCGCCGCTAGCCGCGCGCCCTCGCCGCGGCTCGGCTGAGGGGCCGGTTTCCCGGGCCGAGTGGCCTCCGGAAAGAGCGCGTCTGCCTGCTCGCGCTCCCCTTCCTTTGGCTCATCGACGGTCCCGCCCGCGTGGCGCGGCCAAGCCCCTGGTCCCCACTGCGCCCCCTCCCCAAGGATGCGCGCGGCTGGAGTTAGCGGGTGGCCGGTGGCGGCGCGCCCGCCGCCGCGTGTCGAGTCCCCGGCGCGTTTCCGCTGGCGGCCTCCGCTCTCTGCCCGCTGCCCACGTGGGCGAACTGCGTCCTTACCCCTCGCCGAGCTTCCGGCCCCGCTTTCCCTTCCAAACGCAGGCCTTCTCCGTTGAAGTTTGCACCAGCCGGCCGGCGCTGTGCGACTACGGATACTTTTTTTTTAATGATTATTATTAATGCCTAAACCTAGCACGGGCTCCCCTCCCCAGTGAGGAGGCCCCTGGCGTTACGCTGCTTTGTTTGTTGGAGCCCGGTTTCCGCTGGTCTTCGGTCCTGGGGCGGGTTTCTGCACAAGGGTTCATTGTGCTACGGAGGTTTGGCCGGAGGAGCGAGCGCTGGCGGGGAGCCTCTCTGGGGCTTTAAACACTTTTCTTTTGGTTGGTGTCCCAAGAAAGAGTGTCGAATTACCGTGCAGAAGGAAATCTTGATAGCATCCTTTTAAGACCTCTTGGAAGTGATTTATTATGGGCTAAGGATTCCCTTCACTTAGGTGACTTTTAGAGGTTCTTGGCAGCTGCGGTTAGACCTGGATTTTGACTGCTCACGCACTCCTGGGTTCTGAGACACGGCAGCCGGTGTGCAGTCTGCCCAGGTCGTTAACTATTTGCCCTTTGCAAAGCGTGATGATGGCCTTGAAGAAGAGGGACCGGGGAGGGTGGTGAAAACTCGGCCGTTTTGAGAAGCCTCATGCATCCAACCGATATGTATAGAGAGGTATGTGTAGACAGCCCCTCCTGCTTTGGGAGGCAAGGCAGAAAGGGGTTTCTTGTATGAAGCTCGCTGGCCAAGTGCGTGAGTTCTTTGGGTGCTCAGCTCTAAAATGGGGGTAGTATGGCAAGGTTTGCTGGCAACGTTCCAAACCAAACTCACTGCCATCAAGCCCCTTCCGACTCAGTGACCTCCGCTCTCAGGAGACTTAGTCTCTGAAATCCACAGGGGTAATTTCTGCCCTATAGGGGAGCTGTGAGTTGGGAAGTTGAGGAAGCCCTGGGCGGCACAGGTAGTTAGGCAGACCTCCAGTTGAGCAGAAGGTTGGAGGTTGGAGTCCACCCGGAGGCAGAAAGAAACACCGGGAGCTCTCCTCCAGAGAACCAGTCGTCGGGATCCGTGTGCAGCACAGTTGTGCTCTGGTGCCCCCGGGTTCACCATGAGTGGGAACCAACTTGGCAACTGGTTGGTCTGCCTTGCACATGTCGAAGCTTAACTAAGTGGTAATGCTTATGATGGGGGGGAAAGGTAAGCACCCTAATGGCACAGTGGTTAAGTGCTCAACTGTCAAACCCACCAGCAGCCCCAAGGGCGTAAAGATCCGCTTCTATAAAGATCTGCTTCCCCCTAGGAAGCCCCTTTGAGGCAGCTTTACTCTACTGAATAGGGTCACTATGAGTCAGAGTTGACGAACAGTGTTATTGGGGAGCTGAGGTTAATGTTGGATGCCTAGGGTGTCACTAGACAATAGCTTCCACTGGGCAAACAGGGACGGGTCACCCACCCTTACAGAAATACCTTTGAAGGACCATCAAAATCTGAGAGGCATGGCATGTTTAAACCAGTCTCACTTTCATCGGACGCAGAAACTCTCCCTACCACAGTTTCCATGAAAAATTAATATAGTACATTGAAGAACAGCATGGGCACTGACTAGAGTGCTGATGGTCATATTGGATGATGGATATTTTGGGTCTTGGCGAGCTGCTGAGTATAAAATTGAGAAGTACAAATAGTGCTGGGCCCGCCTGCTGATTTGTTTCTTTGGGGTTGGAAGGGGTGACACCACGTGTTGAGAAGCCCTGGTGTGGTGCCACTGCCAAGCCCCTCAGTTGGACTGGCCACATTCTGTATGGACCACACTCGGTGCTAGTGCCCAAGGCAAAAACAGGCTACCATAATAAAAACCACATTCTAGCCCCAAATCATAGAATAGTACCCTGCAACGATCCTTCAGGTCCACATATCCACCACCACCACCCCTCTTTGTACAGATAAACTTATGGCTGAGGCAAACTCCCTTGTTCAATGATAGAAGTGGGCCTAGACCTTGGCACTCCACCAGGTGGGTGTGGTGAAGCATTTCTGAAATCTGGCATGTGGTCACCCCATGTTTTCAGCTTTATTGTGTGATAAGCCAAATCCATCAAGTTCACTCCCAGGAATGCACCCCAAAAGACTTACAAAGCCGGGACACCCACAGATACTGGCACACCAGTGCTCACTGCAGCACGACTCACGATTGCCAACCCAATTGCCCATCAGCCTGATGAATGGACGCACAAAATGCGGTATGTCCCTGTCCCGTAGTCTATTACTCAGCCACAAAGAGAAAAGAAGTCCTGATACGTGCTATGACATGGGTGAACAGTGAACATACAAGGCTGACCAATAGAAATCAGACCCTAAAGAACAAATATTGTATGATCCTACTTAGGTGAAGTACCTCAACGAGGCTGGTTAAGAGGCCCTAATCCTCCATTTCAACCTCATTTCATAAGCTTTGTGGATTGCCGTTAGGTGCTGGTAAGTCACTTCTGACTCATAGTGACCCTGTCTGTCCAACCGAAGGCAGCCCCGCCTGGTCCTGCGCCATCCTCACAATTGTTAACTTCGATTCTATTGTTGTAGCCACTGTGTTACTCCATCTCATGGAGGGTCTACCACTTTTCCCACTGACCCTCTGTTGGCATAGTGGGTAAGTCGTTGGGCTGTTCATCACAAGATCAGCATTTTGAAACCACCAACTACTCCTTGGGAGGAAGATGAGGCTTTCTACTCCCGTAAACAGTTACAGTCTCAGAAACCCACAGGGCATTCTGTGCTGCCCTGTAGGATCACTGTGAGTCAGAGCTGACTCGATGGCAGTCAGTTTCTATTTTGCCTAGCATGTTGTCCTTTTACAGAACTGGTCTCCTGATAACGTGACCAAAGTACATGAGATGAATGAAGTCATGCTAGCCTCAATTCTAAGGAGCATTCTGGCTGTTCTCCCTCCAAGGCAGATTTGTTTGCTGGCAGTCTGTGGTACTGCCGGTGCCACACTTCATGCACCGCCAGCACAAATGTTCTTCTCCAGCGCCGTCATTCACATGCACTGAGGTCAGGTGCACCTTAGTCCCCAGCACAGCTGTCTCGAAGAGCACATTTGCCAAGGCAGGGTATCATCGGATGGCTTGCCTGCTGCTTCCACGTGCTTTGACTGGATCCAAGCAAGATGAAATCCTTATCGCTTCCGTGTTTTCCCTATTAATCATGATGTTACCTCGAGGTTCACTTGCGAAGATTTTTATTTAATTTACATTGAGTTACAATCCATATGGAAGGATACTGCCATCATTCAGTGTACCCGCAGTCTGTAATGGGTTTTCAGAGCTTTGCGTCCTTGAAGGAACCAACCCAGAACACAGTAAGAACAGACAAATTTGTCAGGAGCCAGAGAGCATGCACGCATGCTTAGGGGTGGAGGCTGACCCCAGAGTGCTTGGAGGTTGGAAAATTCAGCCTACCCCAAGGTGGTTCTCAGCTGACCCCACTTACAAAGCAGGAGGTCCACCAGCAGCAGCGTCTGCCCACCCACAAGCACTAAAAAGACTGTAGCTTTGCCCTCGGTCTTGCATATGCTCCTATAAAGCCGTGAGCCTCCTTTGAGCAGAGCCCACACTTGCTGCTTGCTTAATCATTCAGTCAAACTTTCCACTTTCATCCTGTCTTTGTTTCTAGCCTCACCTAGGGAGACTCACTTGGTAGGAACAAGGACACAATAGTGGTTTCTGGTTCCTTGGGAAGGGATGCTGAATTTCTGTTCAAAACCAAAACCAAGCTCACCACCATCGAGTGGATTCTGACTCATAGGGACCCTGGTTGGACAGGCTAACTGCCCCAGGGAGTTTCTGAGACTAACTCTTGACTGGCCTGGGAAGCCCTGTCTTTGTCCCAGGTAGTGATGACAGACAGCATGGTAAACGAGGTCCACGTCACTGAACTGCACACACATGCGGGCTGAAATGGCAAACGTCTTAATAGCTATTCGATCTGTTCTATCTATTTTAAGAGAAGGGTAGGGTGGCAGGGTGGGTGTAGAGACACCGTGTGTCTCAGTTTCAGCTTTGGGTTACTTCGCTGACGGGTGGCTCCTGTGGCCACTGCCACCATGTCCTCGGATCATTTATAAAACAGCATTGCAGCCACTGCTGCGGGGTGAGGGGAAGAACGGCATGGAGCCCAGGAACCCGCCTCCAATGGGAGCCTCACCGCTTGCAGCACAACACTGATGCCCCGCAGCCCACGGTCCTCGGCTGTGAGGTGACGCATACTGTGCGAGGTTGTGGGCTTGCAGACAGAAACCTCACTTTCCCGGCCTCGTTCTCAGCACCCCCACGAGTTTACCAGCCCTTCAAGGAGAAACGTGTTGTCCTCAATTGTGAGGGGTACAGTTGCCTCACTCAGATGGAAACCACCATCAGGTTTGACAGTGACAGTACAATGTTTAGATTATTGTTGAAACCTGACTGTCACAGGTTCTTGTTTCTGCTGACATGAGGATGGGCGGGCATGCTTGCCAGACATTAGGGCTCTGTCTATATTCCAGTGGTAGGTCTAGACGTGGCAGGGAACAGGGAGGTGTGGGTGCTGAGTGTCACACCTTTGATGGGTGAGTTTTGCGCTGACACCTGCATATGTTTAAGAGCCGGTGACCTAAAGATGGAGGTAGCAAGTCCCAAACGTT